TTTTTTTAATCCTCACCAAGGATATTTTTCTATTTATCTTCAGACATAGTGGGAGGAAAAGAGAGAGAGGAAGAGAGAGAGAAACATCAATGTGAGAGAGACCAATCGACTGCATGCCTCGTGCACAACCCTGACCAGGGCCATGGATGAACCACAACCAAGGTAAGAGCCCTTGACCAGAATCGAACCCACAACTCATTGGTCCACAGGCCGATGCTCTAACCACTGAGACAAATCAGCCATAGCTAGAGTCAGAGAATCTTGATAGACAGATTAGAATGAGTGAAATTGAAGCAGTAATAAAAAGAAAAACAAAACTCCAAACAAATAAAATTCCTGGCCAGATGCCATCACAGGGTAATTTTTTTAAAAAATTCGAAGAAGTACTAACACTTACCCTTCTCAAATTATATTACAAAAAGTTCAAGAGGAGGAATAACTCTTAAACTCATATTAGGAAGCCATCATTATTATAATTCCAAAACAAGATAAATACACTACAAAGAAAGAAAATTATAGAGCAATATCCCTGATGAACGTAGATGCTAAAATCCTTAACAAAATATTAGCAAACTGGATCCAGCAATACATTAAAAGATCATACACCATGATCAAGTGGGATTTATTCTGAGATGCAAGGTTGGCACAATATCCACAAATCAATAAATGTGACACACCACACAAACAAAATTAAGAATAAAAAGCACATGATCATATCAATAAACACAGAAAAAGCATTTGATAAAATTCAGTACCCATTTATTATAAAATCTCTAGTAAGTGGGAATACAAGGAGCATATCTCAACTTAATAAAGGCCATATATGACAAACCAACAGCCATCATCATACTCAGTGGACAAAAACTAAAAGTGTTTCCCTTAAGATCAGGAATAAGACAGGGAGGTCTGCTTTCACCACTCTTGTCCAACATAGGACAGGAAGTCCTAGCCACAGGGATCAGAGAAAAAGAAGAAATAAAAGGCATCCAAATAGGAAGAGAGTATGGCATGATATTGTACACAGAAAACCCTAAAGACTCCACCAAAAGGCTACTAGATCTAATAAATGAATTCGGCAAAGTAGCAGAATACAAACTTAATATTTAGAGCCAGACCAGTTGGTCGGAATGCCGTCCCATGCACCAGAAGGATGTTGGTTCAGTTCCCAGGTCAAGGCACATACCTAGATTTCAAGTGTGATCCCCTGCTGGGTGAGCATGGGAGGAAACCAATCAATGTTTCTCTCTTACATCAATGTCTCTCTCTCCCACCCCTCCACCCCCCACTTACTCCATCTCTAAAATCAAGTGTATCCTCATGTGACATTTTAAAAAAAGAAAATAAATCAGTGGCATTTCCCAGTATACACCAATAATGAAGTACCAGAAAGAAAAACTAAGGAATTAATCCCATTAACAATTACAACAGAAAAAATGAAGTGCCTAGCAGTAAATTTAACTGAAAGGTGAAAGACATATACTTGGAAAAGTATAGGACATTCAAGAAAGAAACTGAGGAAGTTACAAACAAGTGGAAGCATATGCCATGTTCATGGATTATAGAATTAATATCATTAAAATGTCCCTACTACCCAAAGCAATCTATGGATTCAACACAATTCCTCTTAAAATACCAATAGCATATTTCACAGATCTAGAACAATTATTCCAAAAATTTACAGGGAACCAAAAAAAAAAAAATCCCAGATAGCCTCAGCAACATTGATAAAAAAGATCAAAGATGGAGGTATCACAATACCTGATATCAAACTATATACAAAGCCAAAGTAATCAAAACAGCCTGGCCCTGGCCGGTTTGGCTCAGCGGTTAGAGCGTCGGCCTGCGGTCCGGAGAGACCCGGGTTCGGTTCCCGCTAAGGGCACGTACCTCGGTTGCAGTTTGTCCCCGGCCCTGGTCGGTCGTGTGGGTTGCAGCCACTCGATGTGTCCCTTTCGCATCGATGTTTCTCTCTCTCTCTCTGTTCCTTTCTCTCCCTCCCACTCTACCTGAACAAAATATAGAAAAATGTCCTCAGGTGAGGATAAAAAAAAAAAAAAAAAACAGCCTGGTACTAGCATAAGAATAGGCATATAGGTCAATGGAAAAGAAAAGAGAGTCCAGAAATCAACCCATGCCTATATGATCAATTAATATTTGACAAAGGAGGCAAGAGCATACAATGGGGTAAAGAAAATCTCTTCAATTAATGGTGGAAAAACTGAACAGGTACCTGCAAAACAATATGAACTAGACTACCACTTTACACCATACACAAAAGTAAACTCAAAATAGATAAAAGACTTAAATGTAAGTCATAAAACCATAAAAATCCTAGAAAAAAAAACAAAAACAATGAAATCTCAGCCATCTCTCATAGCAATATTTTTGCTGATATGTCCCCAAGGACAAGGGAAATAAGGGGGAAAACAATAAACAAATGGGACTGCATCAAACTAAAAAGCTGCTGCACAGAAAAAGAAACCATCATCTCTCTGATGATTAGTGATGTTGAACATTTCTTCATATGTCTCTTAGCCATTTGTATGTCCTGTTTGGAGAGGTGTCTATTTAGGTACTCTGACCATTTTTTAATTGGGTTCTTTGTGTTCCTTTTGTTGAGTTGTATGAGCACTCTATATATATTGGAAATTAACCCCTGATCTAATATATCATTGGCAATTATGTTCTCCCATACAGTGGGTTGCCTTTCCATTTTGGTGGTTGTTTCTTTTGCTGCGCAGAAGCTTTTGAGTTTGATGTAGTCCCATGTGTTCATTTTTTCCTTTGTTTCTGTTGCCTTAGGTGATGTATCAGTGAAAATTCTGCTGTGTATGATGTCTGAAATTTTGTTGCCTACATTTTCTTCTACAATTTTTATGGATTCATGAGTCACATTTAAGTCTTTTATCCATTTTGAGTTTATTCTTGTGTATGGTTCAACATCACTAATCATCAGAGAGATGTAAATTAAAACAACAATAAGGTATCACCTTACACCTATCAGAATGGCCCCCATCAACAAATCATCAAAGGGTTGGCAAGGATGCAGAGACTAGTGTACTAGGGGACTCTAGTATACTGCTAGTGGGGATGCAGACTGGTGCAGCCACTATGGAAAACAATATGGTGTTACCTCAAAAAATTAAAAAGTGAACTGCCATTTGACCCAGTAATCCCACTTCTAGGAATATACCCTAAGAAACCTGAAACATCAATCAGAAAGAATACATGTACTCCCATGTTCATAGCAGCACTATTTACAATAGCTAAGATCTGGAAACAGCCCAAATGTCCATCAGTAGACTAGTGGATAAAAAAGCTGTGGTACATATACACAATGGAGTACTATGCAGTTGTAAGAAAGATCTCTTATCCTTTGAGATGACATGGAGGGACCTGGAAAGTATTATCCTAAGTGAAACAAGCCAAACAGAGAAAGACAAGTATCATATGATCTCACTTATTTGTGGAATATAATGAGCATAACAGTCTGAGGAATGGGGTAGTCCCAGAGACGTGGAGTGGGGTACAGACTGACAATCCCCAGAAGAAGGGGTGGTGGGGGAGTAATAAACCAGAGAACTTATATGCATGAACAATGGACATGGACAACAAAGCTGGAGATGGGGCGGGGAGGGAGGGCGAGGGGAAATCAGTGGGGGGAAAAGGAGAAACAGCTGTAACAAAAATTAATTAATTAATTAAAAATAATAAAAAGAAACCATCAACAAGATGAAAAGGGAACCCACTGTATGGAAGAACATTTTTGTCTATGAAACATCTGATAAGTGGTTAATTTCCAAACTCTATAAAAAATGCTATACAGCTCAACACCAGGAAGACAAACAATCCAATTTAAAAATGGGCAAAGGGCCTGGCCAGTATGGCTAAGTGGATTGAGCATTGTCCCATGGACTGAGAGATCCCAGTTCAATTTCCAGTCAGGGCACATGTCCAGGTTGCAGGCTCAGTCCCCAGTGGGGGCATGCAGGAGGCAGCTGATTGATGTAGCTCTCTCACATCCGTATTTTCTATTTCTCTCTTTCTTCCTCTCTCTCTAAAATAATCAATAAAAACATATGGAAATAAATAAATAAAATAAATAAAAATGGGCAAAGGGCTCTTGGGTTCAAACCTAGTTAGCAGCAACATGACTAAACACACCAAGATGGTCGGAATCATTGGTAAATACAGAACCCATTATGGCACCTCCCTCAGGAAAATGGTGAAGAAAATTGAAATCAGCCAGCATGTCAAGTACATTGCTCTGTTTGTGGCAAAACCATGATGAAGAAATGGGCTGTGGGGATCTGGCACTGTGGTTCCTGCATGAAGACAGTTGCTGGTGTTGCCTGGACCTAGAACACTACCTCTGCTGTCACAGTAAAGTCTGACATCAGAAAACTGAAGGAAATGAAAGATCAGTAGAAGCTCCACAGTTTGAAACATTGCTAGCCTAAAATAAATGGGCTAATTTATTTAAAAAATTAAATAAATAAAAATGGGCAAAGGACTGAATAGACACTTCTCCAAAGAGGACATACAGATGGCCAACAGACATATGAAAAAATGCTCAATGTCACCAATCACCAGAGAGATGTAAATTAAAACTACAATGAGATATCACCTCATACCTGCCAGAATGGCTACATCAATAAATCAACAAACAAGTGTTGGCAAGGATGTGTAGAGAAAAGGGAACCCTCATGCACTTTTTGTGAGAATGCAGACTGGTGGAACCACTGTGGAAAATAGTATGGAGTTTTCTCAAAAAATTAAAAATGGAACTACCTTTTGACCCAGCAATCCCACTTCTAGGACTACATCCTAAGAATCCTGAAACACCAATTCAAAAGAATATATGCACCTCTGTGTTCATAGCAGCTTTATTTACAATAGCCAAGATCTAAAAATAGCCCAAATGCCCATAGGTAGAAGAGTGGATAAAAAAAAAAGCTGCAGCACCTGCGGAGTAGCGAAGAGGTGGGGCGGGGGCCTGTGTGGCCTCTTTGCCTCTTTACGCCGCCGGGACACCAGGTCAGCCACCGGCACCATGAAGATCTGGACTTCGGAGCATGTATTTGACCACCCATGGGAAACTGTTACAACAACTGCGATGCAGAAATACCCAAATCCTATGAACCCAAGTGTGGTCGGAATCGATGTACTGGACAGACATATAGATCCTTCTGGAAAGTTGCACAGCCATAGACTTCTCAGCACAGAGTGGGGACTGCCTTCCACTGTGAAATCTCTGATTGGTGCGGCAAGAACAAAGACATATGTGCAAGAGCATTCTGTAGTTGACCCTGTAGAGAAAACACTGGAACTCACATCCACTAATATTTCATTTACAAATATGGTTTCAGGAGATGAGAGACTTATATATAAACCACATCCTCAGGACCGAGAAAAAACTGTTCTGACCCAGGAGGCCATCATCGCTGTGAAGGGCGTCAGCCTCAGCAGCTACCTGGAAGGGCTGATGGCGAACACCATATCTTCAAACGCTAGTAAAGGCCGAGAAGCGATGGAATGGGTCATACATAAATTAAATGCTGAGCTTGAAGAACTGATGGCTTCGGCCAGAGGGAGCATAAGGTCACCGATGGCAGCGGCAGCCTTTGCAGAGAAATGATGCAGGTTGGCACGCAGCCCCCAGCCCCCAGCAGTCTTTGCAGAAAAATGATGCAAGTTGGCACGGCACCCAGCCCCTTGGTCTCTACTAGCTAGCATTATATTTATTTCTTATTTAAAAAGTACAACTATACTTTAGGTAGAATTTTTTTTAAATAAGCTGAAGAACGGCTATGTGACTTGATCAAAACATAGAGTTCGGGGTTTCTAAATAAAAGGGAACATCTGAAATTATTAATGTTGTTTGAAATGACTGTCTGGTTTTGAAGATTCCAGTATCTATGTGAAAATTTAACAATTTTTGAAAAGTACTTGGAAATTGGTATTGGCATATTAAATCTCCTTCAGGTTGAATTTCTAAGCGGTTCAAGCGTGGGAACTGTGCCTGGCTTTGGAGCCCAGGACAAAGCAGAGCCACCTCTAAACAGGCACAGTTGCCCTGCTGCAGTCAACTTTAAGAGGGAGCTCACTTTCAAAGGAGAAATTTTACAGTTTTCAAGGATACTAATTTGTGTACAATAACTTGCTCTGCTAAACCACCACTGAAAACCAGTGTTTTAAATTGGGACATAAATGACATTTTTGGACCGAAAATTCACTCAAGTAATATATAACTGCAAAAAAAATATGATTTTATTATATTAAAGAGTACTGTATTGACTTCCCAAAATTTTGTAACTTAGTGAAGGAATTACCTTCTTTGGATTTGTACTTTATGACTTAGTATGCTGTATCGTGCTGATTATGTGGACAGAAAATAAAGTCATTACCAGAATTTTGCAGAACTAAACGTAAACAGAAGAGCAGCTGTGCACCTCTTTCCGCATTTCAGTTTGCCTAACCTATAAATGGCCATTGTCCGATAGCCTGGGGACTGGCACCAGGCAAAGTGCTCGACCATTGTCTCCTTACTCAGCCTTGCCTCCCACCCTGAACGGCCTGCCTCTAGGCTATAGATTAACTCCCATCTTGCTCTTATCTATTCACATTCCAGAGGCTCCATGCATAACCCCCGCAGGGCCAAACCCTAAGGGACAAATTCCAGATGCAACCGGCAGATATAAAAGACACGAGCCCCTACATTGAGCGCGGCTTCTAGGACTCGACCCCGGAGTCTGTGAACCCGCCCGGAGTGTACCCAATAAAGCCTGATCCCTGTTTATTCGGCTGATTGGCTCTCCAGTCTCTTCTCTGTTTTATTCGGCGGCGCCCCCGATTCCTTACAGCCATGTGTCCGAATCTTGGTTCTGTAATTGCTAAAACATGATCTGCCAGGTTATTTTAATATAATTACTTTTTGAAGTAATTGTGACCACAACACATCTTTTTTTTACATGAAGAGGTGTACCTCATTTCAAATTGCTCAAATGCTATCTTGATCTGAGGTACAAACCCCAGGTACCTGATGTTAATAATAGGGTGCCACTGCAGGGGGGCTGGTGGGGAGGAAGGAAAGAACAACAGAGAGGGAAAGGATTGACCTGAAGTAACCACTACGTGAACAGCTTTGCAGCTTTGATTTATGGGAAGTCCTCATGTTAGGAGCCGGAGTGCAGCTGTACTCGGAAAAACAATGCAGTAAATATATTTTATTTCCTATTTTGTAGCAGTTAATTATCAACCAGTAGAAAATATCTTGGATAAAGCATTTCTGTTAAAAGGCGATTAGCTCTTGCCTTTATCTTACAATGACTAATGTGGTCCAATTCCTGGGCAGGTGCCCATAAAAGAAGCCAGGTGACATGTGTACATCCACTACAGGAACAATCTATTTAAAAATCAGTGTTTTCCTACTTAAAGTACTGTTTTAGCTTAAGACTTGTTAGAGCATTTGTAAAAGCAAGTGAAATTCAATAAGTTTTTTTTATTATTTTTGTAACCAGAGATGGTTCTTACAATTGAAATAACATTTCAGCTAAACAAAACATTGCTAAATACTGATTTTTGATTAAAAGTTGCCTTGTATGATTTCTGTAAATGATACTTGTTCTGACAAAGGTGTAATGAACACCCCGATGATAAAAAGATTTCATAAGTTTCAAAAAAAAAAGCTGCAGTACATGTACACAATGGAATAGTATGTGACCATAAAAAAAGAAGAAGAAAATCTTACCTTTTGTGACAGCATGGATAGTCCTGGAGATTATTATACTAAGCCAGTCAGAGAAAGACAAATACCATATGATCTCACTTACATGTAGAATCTAATGAACAAAATAACTGACTAACAAAATAGAAACAGAGGCATGGATGCATGGAAGAGACTGATAGTTGTCCAGGGTGAAGAGGGCTCTGAATGAAAGGAGGTGAAGGGATTAGCCAAAGAATATATATGCATAATTGATAGACACAGACAAACAGCATGGTGATGGCCAGCGGGAAGTGAGGGTTTTGGAGGCTGTGTGCAGGTGAGCAAAGAGGGGAAAAATAGAGACATCTGTAATCATGTCAAAAAAAAAGGAAGTAGATGTTTGATACATGCAAAACATCGATGAATCTCAAAAAATTAAGTTGAGTAAAAGAAGCTGGCCAAAAAAGGAGTCCATACTGAATCACTCTATTTACATATGGAATAAAAGGCAAACTAAGCTACAGTGACAAGAAGCAAATCAACAGTTGCCTGGGGAGGAGGAGGGGTACAAGAGAGAAATTTCAAAAGGGTACACACTTTTGGAGGTGATAAGATTTGTTCATTTTCTGTGGTAATAGTTTCAAAGTTATATACATATGTCAATTGTACTCATTAAATAAATGCAGTTTATTTTATGCCTATTATATCTTTAAAATCTGTAAAAATTTAAAAAAAAACAAGGGTGGGCAAACACCATTATGTTCCATCCTTAAATTCTTTTTGACCACATTGTGTCTTAGAAGAATTTAAGAAATAGTAAAGAGAATGAAATTACTTACTTGAGAAAGTCTGTCTCCCTTTGAATTCTCATGATCTCTGTGGCTGTCAAACTCTTATGGCCAGTTATGTGCGCAAAGCTAGGGAACTAAAATTAAGAATATAATAGAATCATGGTAAAAGGTGTGGTATAGTAAAATTTCATTAAAAATTAATTGTACTGTTTTGTCTTACATCCAGCAATCAATCCTTTAAAAACCATGATTGGGGAAGTCATAAATAATAACTACCCATCATTAAAACATTAAAGTGCTATACATAATCAGATATGTATATTAAAAACATAAATTTTCAAGAAAAAATATCTGAACTTACCATCAAACAGACCAAATTTTAGAATTTAAAAACCTAAATTAGCATCCATTTTTCTAAAAAATTATATCCCTAGGATACTTAACAGGACTCACCTAAAAGAATAAATGCAGTAACTATCTGCTGCTATCCACAATCATTTAACTCACTTCAACATATTTATTGGAGCATCCACTGTACTAAGCACTGCGTTTGATGCACGGAGGAGACAAAGATAAATATTACAGTACATGGCCTACACTGGGACTCAAGTGGTTTGATGTGCTCTATATGCCCAAGTGGTAGAAGAATGGAACAGAAAGGAAGCTTGGAAAAGGAACATGCAGGGAAGAAGCTAACACTTATAGAGGGTCTGACAGTAGTAAAATGTGCCTGGCATATTTTTAGTCATTATTTCCTTGACATTTCACAATGACTTTATGAGGTGGGTAATATTATCCCCACTTTATTTTATTCTTACAAAATTTTCTTCTGATAATTTCAAATGTACAGAAAAGTTGCAAGAATTGTACAAATAACTCCTATATAACCAGTATGACCAATGGTTCACATTAATGTTTTGCCCCAAGTGCTTTCATTCTCTTTCTCTCTCTGAATCATGGAGAATAATCTGTAGGGCTGGATTCTGTTCATTTTGAAGGCTCAATTCAAATGTCATCTTTTAAAGGAAGCCCTCTCTCATTACCCTAAATTAGAATACTGTTCTTCCTTCATGGTCATTCTCTATCCCAGCTATTCTCAAACTTGAGGATGCATCAGAAGAACTAATTAAAACAGATTAGTGGGTCCTCCTCCAGAGTCCCTAATTCAGTAGGTCTAGGGTAGGGCCTGAAAATTTGCATTTCTAATGAGCACCCATATGATATTGATACTACTGGTCTATGAGGTCCACACTTTGAGAACCACTGCTATATCCCATTACCCAGTGTTATCTTTTTCATGATACTTATCACAATTTTAAATTTTTTGTTTGATTATTTACATATTTATTATCTGCCTACCCCCATCCCCAATAAAGTGTAAATTCCATGAGTACAAGAGACTTTCTTGTCCAATACAGTATTCCCAACTCTGAAACAGGTCCGGGCACATGGTGAAAAGGCTGGGAAACACTGCCTCCAAGTATTTCATGGGATACAAATGGCTAAGAGACATATGAAGAAATGCTCAACATCACTAATCATCAGAGAGATGCAAATTAAAACAATGAGGTATCACCTCACACCTGTCAGAATGGCCGCCATCAACAAATCATCAAACAACAAGTGTTGGTGAGGGTGTGGAGAAAAGGGGACTCTAGTACACTGCTGATGGGAATGCAGACTGGTGCAGCCACTATGGAAAACAATATGGCATTACCTCAAGAAGTTAAAAATTGAGTTGCCATTTGACCCAGTGATCCCACTTCTAGGAATATACCCTAAGAAGCCTGAAACACCAATCAGGAAGAATATATGTACCCCCATGTTCATAGCAGCACTATTTACAATAGCTAAGATCTGGAAACAGCCCAAGTGTCCATCAGTAGACTAGTGGATAAAAAAGCTGTGGTACATATACACAATGGAGTACTATGCAGCTGTAAGAAAGATCTCTTATCCTTTGAGACAACATGGAGGGACCTGGAAAGTATTATCCTAAGTGAAACAAGCCAAACAGAGAAAGACAAGTATCATGTGATCTCACTTATTTGTGGAATATAATGAGCATAACAGTCTGAGGAATGGGGTAGTCCCAGAGAAGTGGAAGTGGGGTACAGACTGACAATCCCCAGAAGAGGGGGTGGTGGGGAAGAGATAAACCACAGAATGTATATGCATGAACAATGGACATGGACAACAAAGCTGGAGATGGGGCAGGGAGGGAGGGGGAGGGGGAAATCAGTGGGGGAAAAAGGAGAAACACCTGTAACAAAAATTAATTAATTAATTTTTAAAAAATAGTATTTCATAAGAAATATTAAAAAGAAAATAGGTATTTAGTACCCTAAAAATTTTCCTTATAAGTTACCTGGGACTGGTGGGTGGGTGGTCTAGTACGTGATTCTTCACAGTAAGCTGGGATTTCCAGGGGACTATCTGAGAAGCGAAGATCTTTCAATGTTTTAGGTTCAGTTCTTCCACCTACTTCGAGCTCTACAATTACATCAAAAACATCATCTGTGAACATCTGTAATTATAGTTGTAATCATGCAAATACATCTTCATAGTTGCAAACCATTTAATGAGGGAACACTGTCATCACAGTCTTTCCCTAAAGTAGCAATTATACAAAGATGCCCCCACTCAGTTGAATTATTACTGAGAAAGAAAAAAATTAGCCCAGACTGAGAAAACTTAAATCTGCCCTGCTACATTCCTAAACATTTCACATCAGGCTGGGAAAATAGATAAATCCAACTGCAAGTTTATAAGGAAATATTTCTCCCCAGGACACAGTGCAGCAGTAAAATGCCCTAACAGCAGCCCCCTTGAGTAACCATTGTTTCTTACCTGCCAAGAAACCTGGTTCTCTAAAATTCAGATTTTCAGAAACTGCTGATTCAAATCGCATTAGTAAAACATCTGACTCTTGTCTGAGGACCTAAGTCTCTTTGACATAGACAAGCAGCCTTAATTTCCAGTTCTAGTGCAGAGCTTCAGAGAAGGGTTTCTGAGCACTACAGTCACATTTACCTTTGTTGTTTCCAAGGTAACAGAACACTGGTTCCCTTAGACAGTCCATACCAGATGGTGACCACTTCGCACTCAGTCAGCCCTGCTGTACTTTGAGACTTTCAAACACTGTTTTCATTTACATTTCACCCAACCTCCACTCTTTCCCCAAACCCTCTACTATCTTTTCCTTTGTTTGGTGATACACCCCATAGGTCCTCTGGTGTGTTGCAAGGAGTCATAAATCTGGCTTTGTTGGATTGCTAAATTAGCCTTCATGAGTAAGCCATTAGCTAAGATAGCACTAAAACTCTAGCTTACTTTACTGTTCCAGTGTTTCTTATTCCAACCCTTCTTCAGACAAAATAAGCTGTGAACCTGTTTGGGGTTTAGAACACTAAATGTTATCCTCATTCTTTGATGTCATACCTAGAAACTTTCTAAGTTTAACATTCCAACCCAGTTTATTTTCAGCATTCTTAGATTTCTTCCTTAGTTTTGATCCAACAAATCCGTTTTTCCATTCCTAGGAATGAAAAGATTGCAGGTCAGTCACTTAATTAGGCCCACTTAGAATGTGAACATTAAAAGTTACATGGTAGAGGCAGTGTCACAGAATGTACTTCTTACTTGAAAGGATTTATAGTAGTTTTTACAAAGTGACCTCTGCTTCACCTTACTCTGGAAACACACAGCTTTGTATCTGGACTGCTTGGTTGGTAGGGTGTCTGGTTGATAGGCCCCACCAGGTCAAGTAAGTGGTCAAGATGAAAGGCAGGTAGCAGCACACATAGGCAGGATGTTGCCATCATGGGAGTCTGAGTAATAACAGAGGGACCACCAGATCCAGGGGGCAAAGACAGGGTGGGGTCAGACCAAGATAGGACGTATGTACACTAAATACCCATATACAGTCCTTAACACTCCGTGGGTTTTCTTCTCCACGGACTCGGTCTCTTATACCTGATCAAGCCTGAGCACCTGCTGACACATGTAGGCTCAGCCTCTGCTAGCTGCCGCTGCCCAGTGTAGATCCTTTCCCTGATCATACTTGAGCCCCATACTCTGCCTACACCCACTGCTTTGGTCCCACAGCCTCCTCTCTGGCCTCTGATCCATTGTTGGGCTAAAGGGACTCCCCAGAAAACTTTATGTCAACCTCCAACAAGACCTCTATGACAGATTCTTTAGTTGGTTGCCTTACCATCGGTTGGCCCATTCTCTGACCTTGGATCTTCTTACTGATGCCCACAACCCAGGGCCTGAAGTTTCAAATGTCCTTTTTAGATAGGTCTAGTTCACTCTCCAAAGTGAGGCTTTGCAGTAATTTGGGAATAAAGATGTCAACATAACAGAAGGTTATGCCCACTGAGGGCCTTTCTACTAGTCCGCAGTGCATCTATTCAACAAATATACACTCACTGCCCTCTCCTTCTTGTCTCTATGCAAGGAAATGAATATGGCAGACATGCTCTCTGCCACGTTGGAACTTACAGTGCAAGGGGATGGCAGACAAGGAGTAAAGTAAGCACATATTCAAAGCACTTTATAAAAGGAGAAGGCCTGGGTACTAGGGGAACAGTGACTGAACACAGAAAACACAGTTTAATTTGGCTGGAGTACATACAGGGGAGTCACAAAGCAAGAAAGGATGACTGAAGACTGAAACTGATCACTTGAGATGCCAGGTTAAAGGTTTCTGTTTCTCCAGTAGGTAAGGGGGAGTCATTGAGGACACTAGAGCATGGGCAGTTATGGTAGATAGGAATTTCTAATGTGCAGGGTAGAAGACTGACCAAAGGGGGGGAAATCAGCAAAGGTACTTTTGCAATGGTTGATAATAACCTCAATTTTAAGACCCTGACTGTGGGTAGAATGACTGTGGTGATTAAATAAAAGGGAAGATGTGGAATACAGTAGACCCAGACACATGGAAGTAGGGCACAGACTGACATCCCTCAGAAGAGGGCATGGGGGGTGGGGGGGTGGGAAGAGATAAACCACAGAACTTATATGCATGTATGCATGACCAATGGACATGGACAACTAAGCCGGGGACAGGGTGGAGGGGAGGTGGGGTGGGGGGTGCCAATGGGGTAAAAAGGTAAAATATCTGTAACAAAAAAATAAATAAAAATTCATAAAAAAAAAAAAAAGGGAAGATGTGATGACTGAGAAAGAAGGAACCAAGAATGTGGTGACTATCTGAAAATATTATAGTTTCATTACTTGCCTGCTTTGAAGAATCTTTGAGAACATTTTCAACACTGTCTTCTGAAGAGACTGTATTTGGTGGTTCATAATCAACCTGAAACACCTTTGTTACTATGCCACTCTGTCTGCAGTCTCTGAAAATTAGTTTTAAAAGAAAGTCTGTGCATTACATAAATATTCCAAAAAACAAACACAAAACTGGCTAGCAATTAAGATAACTCTATTAAAGTCTCTTAGTCTAGCTACTAAATTTATTATATTTTAAATTGGAGAAATAAAAATACAACTTCTATGGTCTTTCTCTACCTTAGTCTTATTTAGATTATCTATTGCTTTGTAACAAACCACTCCAAAACATACTGTCTTAAAACAAATCTGTGAGTTAACCAGGCTCAGCTGGGTAGCTCTTGTCTGTGATCTCTCATGTGGTTGCAGTCAGATATTGGCTGGGGCTGGAGTCAATTGAAAGATCAACTTGGCTGGATGTCCAAAATGGTTTCTTCCCTCATATTTACAGCCTAGGCTAAGATTTCAATTTCTTCTCTCTTGTTAGGTGGTTAATTTGGGCTTCCTTACAGTCTGACTTACAGTATGGAAGTCAGACTTCTGACTTACAGTATGGAAGTCAGACTTCCTACATGGTGGCTGGCTTCAGGACCCAGTGTTTATGCTCCAAGAGACTAGAGCAGAAACTGAAACCCTTTGTGTAATCTAGTCTTAGCATCATTTCTGAAGCATTCTATTGGTCAAAAGTAAGTCATAGGGTCAGCCCAGATTCAAGTGGAGGGGCTACATTGGGCGGCATGGTTCAGTTTTGGAGACTATCTACCACACTCACCATAAAGATTAAGTCTCAATAGTTTGACACTTTAAGCCTCAAACTATCCTAAAACAAAGAGTAGGTTTACCTGTATATCATTTGATATGACTCAAGGAAGTTTTCCTTAGCTCAGCTATCAGTAGCATAATATATGCTGCTCTGATCTAAATTGTTATTCCTCAAATACTACCATGTTTTCAATTTATTCAAAATATTTTACAATAAATCTTTTCCTCTCTGATTTAAAAGTTCCATGAGAAAGCCACACAGAGGTGCCCATAACTAAAAACTGAGGATTTATTCTGAGCAGAGGACCAGCAGCTCACCTATACTCTTTACATTTCAAAACAATTGTATTAAGGTATAATTTCTAGACCATAAAATTCACCTATTTTAAGTATATAATTTGATGATATGTAGTAAAGTTATACAACTGTGCAGTTATCACCACAATCCAGTTTTAAAACACTTCCATCACCCCCCGAAATTCCTTGTGCCTGTTTCTTGTAGTTACTCCTTGCCAGGCAACCACTGATCTGCTTCCTGTTTCGAAAGCTTTGCCTTTTTTAGAAACTTAAAATAAATGTAATTATACAAGTATGTCTTAGCTGTCTTACTTCTTTCACTTATATTTTTCAGATTCATCTATTTTGTTGCATGGATGTATCAGTATCAGTATCGCTTTTAATGTTGAATAATATTCCATTTTATGCATGTACCACAGTTTGTTTATCCATTCCCCAGTTGATGGTCATTTGAATTATTTCCAGTTTTGAGCTGTTATGAATAATGCAGCTATGAACATTCACATAAGTCTTTATGTAAACATGTTTTCATTTTTCTTGGAACTTAGGGTCATATGGGAAGTATATGTTTAACATTTTAGAAACTGCTAAACTGTAGCTATTCATTTTACATTCCCACTGGCATTATCTGAGGATTCCATTTCTCCACATACTTGCCAACACTTGATATTGTCAGCCGTTTTTGATCACCTGTACTCTTGATCATGTTCTCTGTAAATATTTGTTTGATATGTCTCTTGTGTATTAGAACCAAAACAACAGTGGCTTAAATAAGATAAAATCAGCAGGGTGTAATTGGTACCATAGTGATGGGGGGCATGGTATCAAATTTCCACCTTGTTGCTCCACTATCCCTAGATCATTGCACTTGTCCTCATGATCCAACATGGCTAACCACCACATCCACATTCCAGCCAGCAGGAGGCAGGGCCACACCTTCTCTTTTAAGGATACAATCAAGAAGACACACACACACACATAACTTCCATATACATCACACTGGCCACAATTTGATGACATTGCTTTTGTTAGCTGCAAGGAGGATTGGGAAATATCTTTCTTCTGGGCAACCATGTATCTTGCTAAAAATCATGGGCACTATTATCATAGAAGGGAGGCACTGATATCAGGGGATAGGCAGCAGCTAACTTTGCCACATCATCATGATTGCACTTGGTGTATTTATTTGATATGCTTAATTCTCACCCCAACTAATTTGTGTTGAAAGCTCAGAGCTAGAACAGAGGTGATTCTTTTTTTTTTTTTTTTTTTTTTTTTTTAATCTTTATTGTTGAATGTAGAATGTATTACAGATGTTCCTCATTTTTCCCCCATTGACCCCCTCTTCCCCACTCCTGCCCCCCTCCCACGTTTTCCCACACTATTATCTGTGTCCATTGGTTATGCATATAAGTTCTTTGGTTTATTTCTTCCCAACCCCCCCCCCCAACCCCTTTCCCTTTGAGGTTTGTCAGTCTAGCAATGAATTTGTACTTCTTAATCCCTTCACCTTTTTCACCCATCCTCCCAACCCCCCTCCCATCTGGCAACCAACAAAATGTTCTCTGTGTCTGTGAGAATGTTTCTGTTCTACCTGTTCATTTTGTTTGTAGATTCAATTGTTGATAGATATGTATTCGTTGCCATTTTGTTTGTTCATATATTTTATCTTTTTCTTCAAAAAGACCCTTTATCATTTCATATAATAACGGTTTGGTGGTGGTGAACTCTAACTTTTTCTTGTCTGGGAAACTCTTTATATGGCCATCAATTCTAAATGACAGCTTTGCAGGATAGAGTAATCCTGGTTGTAGGTTCTTGCTTTTCATCACTCTGAATATTTCTTGCCACTCCCTTCTGGCCTGCAAAGTTTCCTTTGAGAAATCAGCTGACAGTCTTATGGGAACTCCCTTGTAGGTAACTAACTGCCTTTCTCTTGCTGCTTTTAAGATTCTCTCTTTGTCTTGAACCTTTTGCATTTTTTTTTTCTTATGAATTTTTATTTATTTTTTTGTTACAGATATTTTACCTTTTTACCCCATTGGCACCCCCCACCCCACCTCCCCTCCACCCTGTCCCCGGCTTAGTTGTCCATGTCCATTGGTCATGCATACATGCATATAAGTTCTGTGGTTTATCTCTTCCCACCCCCCCACCCCCCATGCCCTCTTCTGAGGGATGTCAGTCTGTGCCCTACTTCCATGTGTCTGGGTCTACTGTATTCCTCAGACTGTTATGTTCATTATATTCCGTATATAAGTGAGATCATGTGGTATTTGTCTTTCAGAGGTGATTCTTTTTGATCTGTCAAGGTACTTAATGCTTTTTATATTTCCAATTGTTTTGTCCTTATTGATATTAATATTGGTCTTTGATACATTTTTGTTTCCTTAGCAATTCTTTTGCAATTTCTCATATTTCTTACATGCCATTTTTGACATTTCTTAAAATTTTTGAGCCTTGAGGTATAAGATGGCAGCAGAGTATGTAGATCTTTCTCGCACCTCCTCCCTGAACTGAACAGGAAATAAAACTAAGTTGGGGAACAATCACCCTGAATTACCAACTGAAGATTACCTGAAGAGGAGACTTAACCAAGGACTGGCAGAGGAGGCCACCTTGAGACTCTTAGGAAAGGCAGAGACAAAGGGGCGCTGACCTTGCTCCCAAAGGAGTCAGGCCAAGTATATGGAAATATATCTCAGATGTGGGAGGTTCCCCAAGAGGTGTAAAGCCTAGACACCAGACCAGATTCCCCAGTGCAGCATGCCAGAGCCAGGAACAGGTGCCCACATAGCATCCAGCTATGAAAAGCAGTGGGGGGAGGGAGAGGGAGCAGTCAGGTTTCTATCTCCCAAGGAGAGGTGGTGCCCACTGCAGACAAAGCCACTTTTTTAAAGGGCTAATGTGAGAATTGGCCAATTTGGGTCAGTGATTAGAGCACTGGACTGTGGACCAAAGAGTCACAGGTTCGATTCTGGTCAAGGGCACATATGTACCTTGGTCGTAGTTCAGTCCCTGGCCCTGGTCTGGGTTGTGCAGGAGGCAACCAGGGCAACCAGTCTCTCTCTCTCTCTCTCTCTCTCTCTCTCTCTCTCTCTCTCTCTCTCTCTCTCTCCCCTTTCTCTCTCTCTCTCTCTCCCCTTTCTCTCTCTCTCTCTCTCCCTCTTTCTCTCTCTCTCTCTCTCTCTCTCTCTCACTCTATCTGAAGACAAATGGAAAAATATCCTCGAGTGAGGAGTTTTTTTTTAATTAAAAAAATAAATAATGGACTAACATGCAAGAATTTTGTTCACAGCCACTCACCCTGGGCTCTGGCAGAGGGAGGGCAGTACAGACTGGAGTAGCCTGATGAGATCATGGAGTGGGTGGCTTTGAGAAGAGACATAGGGGAGCGGCTATCAGGATCACGGTGCTGGGTCATCCTCCCATATGGCAGCAGCCATTTTCTTGAGAGAAGTAAGCTCTTCCCAGCGGCATTGGTTTAGGGAAAAGCAACTACCCCAACCTCTGGAATCCTGCTGTTCCACCATGGACCTTAAACCCAGCTGAGGAGATAGCGGCATAGGCTGCATCATACAAGGCTGGGCAGACTCAGGGAGGTGCCAGTGACTGGCTATGGGGCAGGGCTATTCTTCCCACTTTCTTGAGAACTGAACTGATGCTCCCCCTCATGGGAGAGCCAACAGAAACACCTCCCGGCTTCCAGAAGATCCAATCTCTGGGCTCCAGAGGCCTCATGCACCAAACTAATAGAAGCTGTGCCCTGCCAAGCTTCAGACAGGTTGCCAAGGTCAAGGTGGAGACAGCATCTGACACTGGCTTATTCCAGAGAACTTCCCAGAAGGCCCAATAAGCCAGCTTCAAACAACAATGCAGCAGAATCCAACAAGCTTCACAAACAGCATATCCAAAGGGTGTTGGAGCAGGCACAAAAATATGCTGAGACCAACCAAATTTTTTTCTTATTTAATCTTTTTTTTTGTTTTTTATTTTCTATGTCATTTTT